CTGGCAAAGGAGCTTCCTGGGGGCCCCAGGCCACTGTGGCCTGGACTCTTCCCGAAACACTCCCCTGTCTGTGCCTTCTCCCTGCTCCATTTTTCTCTTGGCACCCTCCCTAGGCCGTGCAGCAAGGATGTCCCTTTTCCATGAGCTTTTTCCATCAGATCCATGGAGTTTTGGGTCAGGTGTGTGTCCTGGAGGTGACCCAGCAGCAATTCCTCCTTCCCCGGAGATGTTTCCCCTTTGCCACCTGCACAGGGAGGAGCTGCTGTGTCCCTTCGCACCTGGAAAAGCTTCCTGTTCTCTTCCAACATTCCCTTCTCCTCCTTCCCAGCGGATGCAGAAGAGAGCCGAGCGCTTCAACGTCCCAGTCAGCCTGGAGAGCAAGAAGGCAGCGCGGGCAGCTCGGTGAGTCCCTGCCCGGAGCCTCCAGGAGGGCTGGGAGGGATTTCCCAGAGGATGCTCTGTCCCTGGACTGTCCCAGGCCAGGCTGGATGGGGCCTGGAGCAGTCTGGAAGTGGGAGGTGTCCCTGCCCGGGGCAGGGATGGGATGGGATGAGCTTTAATCTCCCTCCTGACCCATCCCATTCCAGTCTGCTTCCATGGGAGAAATCTCTGATGGGACAACGACCCTGGATTGGTGTGGAAAAGGAGGTGTGGGACGGGGTCACTGCAGGTTTGGGAATTGGATTTGTGGAGAAAGTGGGGATTGGTGCCCATGGAGTAATCCCTGGAGCTCCCAGGTCACAGCCTGTTCCTGCTAATCCTTCCCCAGCCCAGCTTTGCTCAGGAGCCCTCTGGAAAACTCTTTGGAGCAGTTTTCCAGGCCTGACCTTTCCCTGATCCCAGCACTGACCTCAGCTCTGTTTGTCTCCCACAGGTTTGGCTTGGCCACGGGTCCCACCAAAGGTGAGGAGAAGCACAGCCAATCCCTGGAGGGAAATTCCTGCTCATACTCATTCCTGGGGAAAAACTGGGACAACCTTTGTCTGTCCCTTGGGTCCCTTTTCCTGCCCACACCCAGGAGCTCCTGAATTCCAGCACCAGAGTCCTGTGGAATCAGGAGGAAAAGGACAAGTGTTGTCCCTTGGAGGTTTAATTTCCAGTGGCTGTCGTTCCAAGCACAGCTGGAAGGGTTTTCCCATATGTCCTGGCATTCCTTGGTCCATCCAAGCATCTCTGGCTCCCTAAAGTTCCACATCCCGTGGCTGGAGGTGGGATGGGATGGCCTTGGGGGTGGAGAAGGTGGTTTGGAGGTGGAAATGGACTTGGAGGTTCCTTCCCTGGTGGGAAGGGATGGGAGCTGGGAATAACAGGCTGGGAATTCTCCCCTGTGGTGTGCATGGAATCTCCTTGGCCCTGGTGCTGTTCCCTGACTGGAATTTCTCTTCCCTCCTCAGGCCTCTCCACAGACGCCAAACCCACGGTAAGGGAAGCTCCTGCTTGGTCCTTGGCACGGGCTGGAGTTTGGGAATGTGATCCGAGGGTGCTGGAATAGCACATTCCTGGTGTCCCCCACTGTGGCTTCCCCTGTGCCAGGGGGGACAGCCCTGGCAGAGCTCTGCAGAGCTCTGGGAGACTCTTCCCTAAAATCCGTGTTCCTGTGGCAGCAGGGAAACTTTCTGGGGAGTCCTGGAAGTTATCCCAGAGGCTGTTTGCTTGTCACTGGAGAATGTGGCTCATCCCTATCCCTGAATCCCGAGGGCTGAGGGTGTAAACAACAATCCATGTCACTTATTCCCTGTTTTTTTGTTGTGTAGGTAAACATGGATAAGCTAAAGGAAAGGGCTCAGAGGTTTGGGCTGAATGTCTCCTCACTCTCCAAGAAGGTAAGGCCTTGGATTCCAGGACACCGTTCCCACCACCCCTTCCCAAGGTTTTCCATCCCCTCAGGAGCATGGCCCCGGCCCTGGGGGATCTAGATGCATTTGGGATCTGTGTCTGGATCAAGGTTGGAGTTGGGATCTGTGTCCAGCTCAGTCTGGATCTGGGATCCATCTCCAGAGTGGGATTTGAGGACTCTGAGTGTGCTGGGAGGGAACAAACACGTGCTGGAAAACACGTGCCAGGAGCTCTGTGGGTGTCCCAGGGCACTGCCAACATGTCCCTTCCGTGGAAAGGTCCCGACTCTCCGTGCTGGGACAAGGGAATTTTCCCCACTCCTCATTCCAGAGGAGTTTTGCCTTAATCCCAGTTAACGAGGGTGTGTTTTCCCTGGATCAGCTGTGCTCCGTGAGCTCCGGGGGGAGAACAGGACTCAGTGGAGCAGCAGAAAGTCTCTGTGTGTCCAAACCAGCAAACGAGGCAGGGAAAACAATTCCCTTCATTGTTTGGCTTTCCATGAGCTTAGAGCAGCGTTCCAAGGAGGAATCTTCCCCCTGGATATCTCCCCTGCCTGCAGCTTTTCCAAACACCTCCTGCAGCCTGGATGGGGAGCTTGGGCCACCAGGGAAGCTGAGGAGGTGATGAGGGGGAGATGTTGGCAGAGGGAAGGAGAAGGGATTGGTGGGATGGTCCAGGTGGATGGTCCAGGTGGATGTTCCAGGCATCTCCCTGGAGTTCCCTCCCCTTGGGGGAGGCTTTGTCCTTGAGAAATGCTGTTTGCTGTGACTGTGGAGAGGGAGATGTTGTTTGGAAGGACTTGTGCTCCTGAGTGGGATTTTCTTCCCGAATTCTCTCTTTTCCTGTGTGTTCCTGCTGTGTCCAAGTGGAGCAGATCCATCACCTCCAGCCCCTTCACTTCATTTGCTCTCCCTCAGAATTCCTCTCCCTCTTACCTTCTCCAGTGCCTTTTGCAGCACTCGAGGTTGGAATAGATCCCAATCTGGCCTGGAAGAGTTCATGGAAAACTTGATTTTCAATAGGAATGTGAAATCTCCAGCCTCTGGAAGGGCTTGGAGGGTCTTTTCCCGGGATGTGCCAGTGCAGCCCCACCTCATCCTCATCCCAAAGCTGCTGCTTCCTGTGGGAAAGGGCAGAAGCCTTGGAGCTGGAGGGAAGCACAGGTGTCTTCCCAGGCTCCTGGTGTTCCCCAGCATCCCATGGCAGCACGTTCCCCTCTCCCTCCTCCTCCTCCCTCTCCCTGTGCCTTCCCTCACACCCACAGTGTCACTGCCGGACAAGTCTGGGCTCAGGGAACTCTCCTGCTCCCCATCCCTCCCTTCTGCT